AGTGACTCGGCGGTTTCGCGCCCGGACTCGTCCTGGAGCGGGTGTCGCACGATGACTGTCCGAAACATCATTTGATACCACACCCAGAAGATCGTTTCATCGAATCGGTGAAATTTCTCCGTAAAATGCAATAGGCGAGGCAATGAGGAAAGCAACAATTCTTGTTAACTGCGAAACGAACTCATGTTCAGCGACATTCATTTGCAACTGTGATCATAAACGATTTTTGATGATGGTGTGGTGGCATTAGTTTGTGCGCTGCAGCAAAATTTGGATGATCACTTGAAAGCTAGGCGGATAAACAATTAGCATGCTAGTAATTTACTTCATTTAGCGGTTTTGGGCAGCGTTCAACACTTCCTGTTTAGAGCCACATCTAGGAAACAGTTTAATTAGCACCGCGTTCTCTAAATACCCCATCCGTGCCCCACACCCGCGTCGCTCCCGCGAAAAAACTTTTTTTTTACTGTAACTCGAGGGGGCAACAACTCGCTTTTGATGTGTACGCGTGATTCCCGAAATATTTGATTCCTGTCTGCTTCCTTAGGTTTATTTTTAGTGGTACAGAACGCTAATATCGACTAATTTGTACCAGTTCCACTAGTTTCCCGCTTCGTTCAAGCGATTTCTGTTGATTTCGATTAATTTTTATCCTGATGATTCCCAGGCAGGTGTACACATATGATTCCCGGAGTTTTTGCCCCCTCGCTGTAACTCGACACCATACTGAAATTACAAGTTTATAGATTCAATAGTTTTTTTGATTTATTGAAAAATACTCAATATTCACCAAGGAATACGTCCTCAGATAACGCAAATAAAATACAAATGGGTCCATTTTAAATAATAAATTTTACAGTCTAACTTCTTAAATAGGGTTCGTTTAATTGTTAACTAAAATTGCCGATGTTTTTTTTTGTTTTTTTATCTCCCACTGAAACCTCTTGGATGTTGCAGGTAACTGAATACATATTCCAAACAAAATACGAAAACATAATCACAAATCTCGGTTTAATAATCATCTTAATCTAAAAATCACAATTTTCATTAAAATTCTCCTTATGGCGTTTTACATGACATGCAGATAAGAAATTACAGGTACTTTTATAAACAGTCCTCGGCTTAAGCCTTGGCCCTATAGGGTGCCACCTTGAGAAAGACGCCCTCTGGCGCTCTGAGAATGACCTGCCCCTCGATGCGAGGCTTGTAGCCGGGGCTTGGGAGGCTGAGATCGCAGGAACGGACAATTTTGCTCAGAGCAGACTTCATTTCCATCATGGCAAACTTTTGACCTGTCGCAAGAAAAAGATAATGCCAATGAATAATCAGTTAGTCTAGCGTCTCTAGCACTTGCGGCCTTCAAGAGCACCAACTCACCAATACAGTTTCTCGGACCGGCCGAGAAGGGAACGTAGGCGTAAGGATGTCTGCCAGAGGAGTTTTCAGTCAGATACCGGTCGGGGTCAAACTTTTCCGGCTCGGGCCAGTGCTTAGGGTTACTGCCCATCTGGAGGCAGCTAACTGTGACGTTAGTGCCAGCGGGGAGTACGTATCCATCTGGACATAAAAGAAAGTATAGATTTGAAATGAAATGCCAGAACGTAGACGGGCAGTAGTCGGAAGGGCTTGAAATAGACGAAGACGGTAAAGTGTGAATGAGTAGGGCAAAACCACAAAAACACAGCAGTAGTAAAATAAATTTCACCGACCCCAGAATATTTCCAATATATTTTTGATAGTGGTTCACTTTTACCTAGAGAAGTCCACTGCAAACAAATGATTATAGGTGTTACACACGTCTGAAATGATTATACAGAAAAGCAAAGGTGGCCTTCATTTGGACGCCATAGGCAAAAATTGTTGAATATCTTAATAAATACGCAGCTTGACTGCTAAATCGTTAAGGTCACTTTTAGAATTCAAAGTCTGTTCAAGGGTACCTACATATGCAAAAGACCGTGAAAAAAGGCGTACGAACGTGCGTCTGTCACGCGTGGTTTTGTCCAGTACCACTAGGAGCCAAGGAGCCATCTGGCCGAGCCGAGCATCTGGCGCCATCTTCCCGCATTTTTCTCACATCAAAATATCTTCAAGTTATTCTACATTTCTCCAGACTTCTGCCTCGCCCAACTCAACGCCTCATTTCTACGTTAATTAAGTGGCTGATGAGAGTAAACTTTAAATACTAACAATGATATTATTTCTTTTCCATTCCTTCTCCCCACATTCCCGCCACAAAGCTAAAACCGGCGCCGCTGACACGTGTAGCCGGGCGCCCAACCATCGCGGGGTAGGCCACCAAGGCCACACACCCAACGGGCGCGGTGAGGTGAGTCGAGCCAGCTGGCTGCGCCGCGGCGCCGGGCCGGGCGCCCAACCATCGTCGGATAGGCCACCCACCCAACGGGCGCGCTGAGCCGGCGGCCTGGCGCCGGGCGACCTGACGGCTGGGACTAACACTCACCAGTGAGAGGCAAGTCCTCGCGCATCTTCCTGGCAAAGAGCGGCACGCTGGGGTACAGGCGCAGACTCTCCTTCACCACCCGCTCGGCGTACTTCATGTTCTGGATGTCCTGGACCGTGGCCTGTCGGTCCGAGTCGCCAAAGAGGTCGAACATTTCCTCGCGCAGCCGCTGCTGAACCTCCGGATGCGCCGCCACGTTGTACATGATGAAGGACAGAGCGGCCGCGGTCGTGTCGTGGCCCTGAGGTTGGAAAAGAAACCAATAAATACTTTTAATGGGCGTCATATCTGGCATTTTTTAAATCAATCGTGGGCTGGATAAAGTTGAACGGTGCTAGGTCGGATGGTGCAAAGAGCACCACCAGGTGCGAAAAGAAATATTACGGTACTGTACAGACCACACCATCGCATAATACCTCAAACATGAAGGTGTCCACCTCCTCCCGGATATCAGTGTCTGTCAGGTCAGCCCCGCTGTCGCTGGCGTCCAGCAGCTGGTCCAGGAAAGCCTCGCGCTTCTTCAAGCCTGCCAACAGTGATAAACGAAGTTGGTTTGTCTCAACCTTGATCCTTGCCCCTTGAGTCCTCGCAGCACTATATTGTTGAAGTCTCTTTTACCTAAGTCTTGGTCAGTCTTTAGCGAGTCTTTGCGCCTGGACTCCCTCTCCTTCCTCCTGCTGCTGATGACCTGCCGACACACACAGAGGTCAGTGGCGCCAAGCCCAATTATAACGACGGCGTGGGACGCACGAATGCACTCACGTCGTTGGTGTACTTGTGGAGCTCTGTGACCGCACTGTTGAAGTTCTTGCCGTCACTACTCATGTTCCAGATGGCGTTGAGGTGTAGCCAGGGCTTCATGGTGCGTTGATGGAAGGAAATCAAAGCCCTTTCGAAAGATAAATAGTCATGGAACTATCACGTGCACAATAATTTGACACACGTCTATATAGAAAAAAGGGGGACCTACTTATGGACGGCTGTTACATAGGACGAGGTCGCGTCGTTCTGGGCCTCGACTTTAGTTCCCATGGCAGTTTCTAAAGCAATAATTGAACACAATGAATATTTCCTTACTTAGTTTGAAATCGATCAAAATGAATATTATATATAATAGGTGAAGTCAAAAACACACCGCAAATAATGTCCAGGGTGCAGAGTGTGATGAGTTCGTGAACATTGACAGCTTCCTTTTGCTCTAACAGTTTCTTCACAAAGAGTTCTCCGCACCTGTTGAACACCTCCACAAACTGGTCCAAAATACGGAAGTGGAAAGTGGGTGTCAAAAGCTTTCTTCTGGTATGCCATTTCTTTCCTGCAAAAAATGGACGAGATAAGCACAAAACAAAGAAAGGGCAGGACGGAAGAAAACATGCTCTGTGCCTGACATCCGAGAGGCGCTCGTGTTTTAGCTTTGGCCTACCTGTGCTTGTGAGAAGGCCCTCGCCAATCCATGGGTGCAGCAAGGCGTATAGCTCCGCCTTCTCGATGTGTTTGTTGCTACTCAGAAGGATCTAGGAAGTAGAAAACAAGACGTGGAATATGTTTATCAAGTCGGAGATAGCGCAAGGACCATGCCCATACTATACACACGTAGCACAAGTGTACTAGGCCAGGTACACACCACCTCCACACATGTACACACGTATGTTTGCAGTGCTATTTTGGAGATAAATTTAAGGTGTGAAGATGAAGAGGAGAGACGGAGAGAAATAGAATTGATACATATGTAGATTCTTACCTCGAGATCTTCGGGTTTCGTCAGAATAACGAACGGAACATTTCCCAGCCAGATCTTGAAGATATCTCCGTACTGCGCTGTCCACGACGCCACGGCGTTGGTTAAATCTGTAAACAAAAATCCAGAGCAATTCTTACCAAATTGAACTAAAAATGAAAGTTATGACAGCCACGTGCGTTGCGTGCGGGAAACAATGTGAGCGATGATCACTGCAAAAATAACGTGAGACTTTCATGACTTTTTATGATGTCTGTACACAGCGAGCACACGCATACCGAGCACTGCGAGATTCTTGTTTGAAAGTGTTATGGATTTTCATTTTTAATACCAATTTGGATTATAAAGCGGATTGGCAGTGGATATCGGGGTTTTCTCCGCCTGAAAACCGCCGAAACTTACTGAACTTGAAGTGTACAAGGTCCATAGTGTTCCCGATGACCGGGTACCCTGGGGGCCCTGGGATTCGATCCAGTGTTTCCACCAGGTGCTTCCTCTTCAAGTACCGGGCGAATATCGCCAACGCCACCAGTACTACAGCCAGCATAAACGCGTCCATGGCCTGAAACATATCACACATTCATTATTGGCTTGTAGGCGCGTCCTTAAAATCATTACATTGTTTTTACAGTCAAAATAAATTTGTGCGAAAATTGAGAGGAGACGAACAGTCGCGCACAACAAAGTTTGTTCGTGGCCGCATCTATTAACATTTCGATTTTGAGCATTACTGCAAATGTGAACTCTGACCTCTCAATCAATTGAGACAACACGATTACCGATTTATTATGGCTGTGTCACCGCGAGCCGGAAGAGAGGGGGGGGGGGATACTACATGACACGAATCTCTGAGTGTTCTTTTTTTTTGTTATTTTTTGTCGTTCTAGTGTAGTCATCCGCCAAGGTTATTGAACTTGCACTGGCGGCCAACCAGGTCAAGGTCAGCAGCTGATCACACTCAACGCCCGGGCGAACCAGGCAGCTGACAGTCTCGAACCAGGCGGAAGCGGGCGCAACCAAAAGCAGGTTTTAAGAACACTCACACGAGCACATTTCAATTGCGCTCGAAAATAAAAGACTGATATCAGTGGAGTCTCCCAGACTCTCCACGCACTGGTATATTTTTAAATTAGTGTCGTCCGGTCGCGAACTCGAGGCCTGTAATACCAAGGTAGCCACAGACCGGAGGAAAACTGATACAGCGAATTTCTGTCCTAGTGTCCTAGGCAAGCACAAGAACCGATTGCTCGTTGATCACGGTAAATATTAATCATTTCAAATCAACCAGCAGACCCGTTTATGTGGAAAAGTTACTAGAAAGAGTTTTGTGACCCGCAAAAGCGAAATATGGCATTAGAGTGCACTTGACACGGCGTGGCCCGGAGAGGGGAGCTTACGGTCCCACCACCACCGCGCCCCACACCCCTCCAACACCGTGCCCCCACTCACCAGCGTGAATCGACAGTTCAAGAGGCTGGCAAACAGGGTGCTGCTTATCATCCGCCGGGCATGAGGTGGCACTAACAGCCAGTATCATTTTAGTGACCGTGCTACTAGTTGGCATTCATCCCAAAACCAAACGTGTGTTTGTCCGCATTCTCGAAAACCGCGAGTAAAAAGTATTACTCGTGTTCGCTGAATGGCTTCTCAGTTCAGGGACAACACACTGTCTCTCTGGTCACCACAGGCTCTTTTGGTCACCCACTGTTGTAATTCATACATTCGTACACTCAACCCCGGCCCTGATAGTATGGCCGTAAGCTTTTAGTGTCACGCGACCGACAACGTCTGTACATACGGCCATCAATTATGCTTCAATTACGCCAACAAAAAAA